TGGATGCTGCTTCACCCGTGCCGCCGCGTGTCCAGGCGCTACCACGGAGTTGGCTACGAGACACCGCAGATCGACCAGGAGCACACGTGGCGTTTCTTGGTGATCTTCCTCCACAGGCTCCGACGTTCTGGCCAGGTCCCGCTCGTGTGGCATTTGAGCCAAGGAGTGGCGCTCACCTGGAAGAGAGTCATTCACCTCCTCGACCCTTTCGGCAAGGGCTTCATGGCCACGGCTATGGACCCACACGAGCTCCAGGACGAACCTCTTTTCGCTCATGGCTGCATACCTCATCGGCGCAGAGAGACGGCCATGCTGGGCCAGCAGCTGTGTGCATGGAAGCTGCGCTCCCTCGGCCTCAATCACGTCACCGACCTCAAGGACATCACCAACGCCTTCGCGTCCACCAACTGGGACAGCCTCGCAGACGCCAATCAGAGCATCATGAAGGACGACCATGTTTCGTTCGGCCGCCAGCGTTTCCGCTTTGCTGCCGTGATGTTCGGCGACCTCTGCGTGCGCCCCAGCGTCGGGGCTCTCATTGGCGACCCGTGGGCGGTGAAAGTCTTTGTGCGGGACATCAGCACCGTCTTTGCGAAGGTGCAGGAACAGTTTGCAGAGTTTGGCTCCGAGACGGCTACCTGGTGCCAGCTCACGCTCAATTTTGACGGTGAGGAGGTTCTTCTTGACTTGGCTTTTCACTCATACGTAGATGACGCCATTCGGAAGATCGTGGTGCCGCCCGACCAGGCCACGGCCGCGGAGCTCGCGCGGTGGTCCCGAGCATGCGACTTGCTTCTTTCTGCTGAGCTCCGACGCCACGGCTACGCGCTCAACCCAGCCAAGAACGTCAGCCTCTTGTCCTTCGTGGGCACGGGGCTGCATGCACGGCGGCGTGAAGTGGCGGAAAAAAGGTTCTTCTTGCAGGGGCCCCAGCAGACTCGACCCGACATCTTGGAGGCCAGGTCATGGGTAACTGTTCATTTCGGGCCGAGCTATCGGCCCGCCTGGCGGCCATCTCGGCGGGTTTCTTCTCCATGGGAAAGTATTGGTACGCTCGGAGGATCGCCTACACCGAGCGACGAGCCGTGTTCCTGGCCAGGGTCGTGGGCCCTGCGTGCTCCGCCTGCGAGGCCTTCTTGCCGTCCCCCAGCCAGATTGACCAGCTCACGGCGCGGGTCGTCTTCTTCGGGCGCAAAGCTATGAGGGGTGCCGCGACGTCTTGGGAGGGGGGCCACGCTCGTTCGGTCCCTTCCGAGGCGGTCTTGAGGTATTGGCGGGTCCCTCCTCTCGAGATCGAGTTCCGTGTCAGACGTCTGCGGTGGTACCAGCAATGGGCTCGAGAGCCCGCACGACATCTAGGCGAGTGGGCCCCTCTCTTCGGGGACATGAACATCGAGAAAATGCGAGGCCTCCGAACCCTTACACCCGAGGGCCATCTCACGGAGACGGCGAACCCCTGGGCCATCCAGTACGTCAGGGACTTCGAGGCGCTTCGGAGGACGTCTGTGGACACTGAGGAGGATATGCGTTCCTGGTCAGGAGCCCCTTTGGAGTTTCTCGAGGAGGGGGACTTGCGGGACTGGTTCACGGGGCTGGACCTCTCGGTCGTCAGGGCCGCGTGGCTCTCGGTCAGCATCCCTCCTGCAGGCACTTCTGGTCCCCATCAAGAGGCACCGCCTGAGATCCCCGCTGGACAAGGTGAGGGCTTTCGCTGCTCCATCGGGAACTGCGCCAAATGGTTCCTAACGAAACGTCAGTGGCTGGTTCACGTTCGGGCCGCTCATGGTTACAAAACCCTGTTGGCTGAGGCTGTCCAGGGCGCTTCGTGCTTCGTGTGTGGCAGCAGGTTCCAGTCTCGCAACTCGGCTTACAACCACGTGCTGGACTCGTTCGCTTCGGGCTTCTGCAAGGTTCAGCTCAGTACCACTCTCGAGCTCGCCCCGCCGACAGGCCCATTCCGTTGCCGACTATGTGAGGCTCAAGTTCTTTCCGAGCCTGCTCTCCACCTCCATGCGCGCATCCATTTCGAGGACCTCCCGCTCGTGCTTGGAGGTGATGGATCTCGACGAGCCCAGCTGGGCGGTCGGGAAACGCAAGGGCCAGGGGACCAGCGACTCCAAGGGTGCCAAGCAGGCCCGATTGCTCGCGGAGCTCGGACAAGAGGCGCAGGCCAACCAGAAGAACGGCAAGGGAGGAGCGCTGGCGGCGCTCTTGGTCGTCCTCACGAGGCTCGCCCTCACCAACGCGCGCGAGCTGGCCGAGGTGACTGGCGCCTGCTACACCTCGTACATGGTCGGGGCAGAGGTTCCGTTCGTCAAGGTGCTGCAGGAGACGGGCAAGACGTACGCCGAGAACTGCAAGGCCGACGGCAAGGACCACCAGCACGGCCCCCCCTGGCCGCACGTGTTCAAGGCGTTCATCAAGTGGGCCTGCAGCACGGAGGGGGCCAGCACGACTCCAGCGGCAGCGCAGACGGTGTTCCAGGACTACTGGCGGAAGGTCATCCTAGCCCCGTCGGCGCTCGAGACGCTGGCGATCCACTGCCGCCACTTCCGACTCAAGGCCTGCTGGTACGACAAGAAGAAGCTCACCAAGCCCGACAGGTTCAAGCTCCAGATCATGCTCGGCATCCCGCAGCAGGCGAACCCTTGGGGCGACGGCGCAGCTTCACTGATGGAGGCGGTCCAGCAGACGGTCATGGCGGCAGGCACAGACAAGAAGGACCAGACCGTGCGCTTTCTCCCTGGGGCGCCGCCGAGAGGCGGTCTGGAGCGCGAGGCCTCCAAGCTGCTGGCGCAGCTTGGGATGAAGGACAAACCAGCGGCGGCGCCCGACGACAGGGACAAGGACAAGGACGACGACGAGCTCTGAGTCGACCTGCCCGTTTCAGGCTGCAATCCGTCAATGGCTCACGCCGTGCCGCTGAGCTGTACCTCCAGGGCCGCCTCCCAGACGGAACCCTCCTCGCCCTCCAGGCTCGGACCCTCTCCCCGATCCTCGAGTACTCGGATGGGGCCCTGGAGGTTAGACTTTTCTTTAGGACCCCCCCCATTCAGGCCTCCTTCGGCGCAGAGACGCTCCAGAGGCTTTCGGAGGCCTCCCGCCAGCTTCGGCTGGCGGCGAGTTCCTTGGGCGAGGGTCGTCTCTCGGGTTCCCTGCGGACCTCGGACGTTTGGGCCGTGCCGCGCCGCGTCGAGGAGGGCTGAAAGGGGTTGTGCTGGGGTCGGTTTAATGCGTCGCCGTCCCTCGGCCCTGTTCAGTGGAGGGAGTGCATAGGCGAGCCCCCTAGGTGTTCCCGATTTGGGGGTCTCGCTCGTATGCCAGTGGAATCCCCCTGCAGGGCCCCACAGAATCTCGGGCCCCTCAAGTGGTTCTCGAACGCCCGATCCGTTTTTTGTTTTCCTTGTGGCCCTGCAGGGTGCGGTTGTCTCAAGGCGGTTGACTTCATCGGATCATCGGCGCTGCTCTGCTCTGCTCTGCTCCTCCTCCTCCTCCTCCTCCTCCTCCTCCTCCACTTTCTCTTCTGGCGGTGTATCCAGCACCCCCCTTGGCGCGTTGCGCGCGCTGAGGAAGGGGGGCCCAACTTCCTCGACCCTCGGGGTGAGCACGAGCCGAGAGGGGGTAGAGGTCTTCGCAAGTTCCTGGCGCTCTTCGGGCTCTCCGTGCCCCTCCAGCAGCTCCGGCCTCGGCGAGCGCTCCCCGGGCCCCCGGAGTCATGGTTTTTGCATGACGCGACCCCCAGAGGTCCAGACCCACCGCCCGGGGCCGGCTTCTCATCCTGAGCCGTCTTCTGGTGGTCCCGAGGCCTGGTGAGGGCCCCCCAGGGGCCGAGAGCAGCGCAAGCATTCCATTTTTCATGGCTCGAGGGCGCCTGGGCACGGCGGCGAGTCGCACTCCGCCCGCCCGCCGGCCCGCCCAGGGCAGGGCCGAGCGCGGCCGAGGGCGGAGCCCGTGCCGCCTGGGGTGGCCGGTCCGGGGGCGCCAAGGCGAACGCCTCGAGCGGAGCTCTCGCTCCTCGCCTGCCCGCGCTCACGTTGGAAGAGGAGCGCCTGCTGTTCAGCGAGGCGGCACTGGCGTGGGCTTCAGGCGGCCGCGGGCTGGCGTTGTGCGGAGGGGTTGGGGTCCTGTGTTCCCGGGGGAACGGAACAAACATAACATATTGTTCTGTCGGCCCGATGCCACGGCCACGCCCGCGCCCGTTCCCAGACCCAGTCGGGTCGCGAACAAATCACGACGGGAGGTTTTGCAGTATGTTCCACCCCTGGGCGCCCTCACCGGCCCTCGGGACCGTCGAAAAACGATTCGCGATGAGACACCTGTCCCGGGAAATGGGTTCGGACCTATTGGGGTCGCGGCATATTAGAAATTATGACCTCGAGGGTCTGGGCACATCGTACTAGAGTGTCCGTATGCGTCTCAGTTGAGAATATAGCTCGCCATATCGTGGTTAAGCCGGACCTGTCCCCTTACAGGAGGGATCTCTGAAAGCAGTTAATAAGATCAGCAGGGGACGATTGTTGATTATTTTTGAGCCGTCTGGAGTATGTTTTGTTGACTGATTTATATTTGTCGTCCAAAGTCCGCCTGCAGGGGGACATGCTCGACCTGATATTTTTGAATCACCTTGTGCGTCGCAGTTCAGAGGCCCGCCCGCCACATTACGGACCCGTTCCCAGCCGACCCCGCCGGGGCGAGGCGCGGGGCGGCGAGCCCGCGCCGGCCGCTGCAGCGCGGCTGCCGCAGTGAGAGTGACCTCTCGCCGCAGTGCGCCTCGGGCCCACACCAGGGTTGCTCCCTGCGTGCAGCCGCGCAGCCCTCCTGCTGCTCCTCCTCCTCCTCCTGCTCCTCCTCCTCCCTGTCCTCCTCCTCCTCCTCCTCCTCCTCCTCCTCCTCCTCCTCCTGCTGCGGCTTCGACCTGCCCGTCGCATCGGCCTCTGGGCCGCCCGGGCGGGGCTCCACGGGTGCCCCCCGAGCTGCCCGGGGGGGGGGCGGTGCGCGAGGCTGGTGCTTCGAGCGGGACTGGCGCGTGACGGAGGCGCGCGCGGCCGCCTCTCACAGCGCGCAGGCCGCGCGGCCGGGCGACGTCGTCGTCGTCGTCGTCGTCGTCGTCGTTCTCATCTTTCTCATCGGTCGTTCTCCTCGTCGTTCGCCTTCGCTTCGTCCTCCTCCTCCTCCTCCTCCTCCTTCTCCTCGTGCTTATGGTCGTCGCCGCAGGTCTTGCTCTTCTTCCTGCGGCAGCAACGACGACGACGGTCGAGGGTCGGGTTCGGGGTTGGATGATTTTTGATACTTTCTGCCACTCTGGGCCTCCGGGGGACAGGGTTCTCGTCCCCGCGGCTGGAGAAGGCTTGGGAAACGCCCCCGGGGTGGGCCTTGGGCGGATCATGGCCAGACGACCACGACGTCGGCGTCGGCGGCGGCCACGATTTAGACGAGGTCGGCGACGACGGCGACAGCTACGACGATGACGACGGCTACGACGGCGACGACGACGACGATGACGACGGCAACGATCCGGCAGCATCAGTGATGGCGGCGGCGGCTTTTCATTCGCATGCCCCGAGAGCAGGCCAGAGACCCGCCGCATCCACTGCCGCCGCTTCCTCCACGCTGCTGGCTGGGAAGAGGGAGCGCTCCGACGCTTCTGCCAGGGAAACGTAAGACTTGATACGCTCATGTATCGGCGATGCGGCGCGATCCCCCGACCCCATCATCTCCTCCGACCCCATCGACATGGCCTCTACACTTGGGGCCCTTCTTGGGCCGCCTCTGGCCCCTCCAGTGGCCGTCTTGGGTCGGGCAAGCGTACGACTCGTGTGCGCCAGAACTCGGGCCTGCCGACGCTTTCTGACGAGCGCGTCGTGGATCCTGACGGTCGAAGGATTGCAACAAAAACGCAGGATTGCAAAAAAAAACGCAGGATTGCAAAAAAAAACAGGATTGCAAAAAAACCCTGGGTTTTTTTGCAATCCTGGTTTTTTTTGCAATCCAAAGTTTCCGTGGGATGGCTGCAGCGGGAGCCGGCGCATCAGATCTCAGACTGGGCACCTCGTCATCTGCATGAGGGCCCCGTCGGGCCGACCCGGGTCCCCCGAGCTCGAGTGTTACGTCCCCCGAGAGGAGAGGAGGAGGAGGAGGAGGAGGAGGAGGAGGAGGAGGAGGAGGAGGAGGAGGAGGAGGAGGAGGAGGAGGAGGAGGAGGAGGAGGAGGAGGACGAGAGACGAGGACGAGGACGAGGACGAGGACGAGGAGGAGGTGGCGGAGGAGGAGGCGGAGGAAGAGGCGGAGGAGGTGGCGGAGGAGGAGGATGAGGACGAGGATGAGGAGGCGGAGGAGGAGGCGGAGGAGGAGGCGAAGGAGGAGGCGGAGGAGGAGGAGGAGGAGGAGGAGGAGGAGGAGGCGGAGGAGGAGGAGGAGGAGGAGGAGTGGGCCGCCTCGAGTGGCCCCGCCCGGGCTTCCCCTGGCCAGCGTCACCCCCCCCATGGGAGGCCGGGGGCGCCCTCCCAGTCAGGAGAGGTCCCGGGGGGCGGCTGCTCGACGGGGGCGGGTGGCGCAGGCCCTCGGAGCGTCGCGGGGTGCGCTCCGCCTCCTCCGCCTCCCCTCCCCCCTTTTTTCGGGGGCCGCTAGAGTCAAGTCGGGCCTGCCCCTCTACAGGAGGAGTATCAAGAAATAGTGAAGCAAATCCGTATGGGGACGATGATTTCTATTTACTGTTTCATTCGTTTCGAACATGTTTCCGTATGTTTGATGTTTCGGCCAAATCCGCCTGTAGGGTGACAGGCCCGATCGAATGCTAAAGGTTCCAGGCTTGTGGACGACGATGAATGGAGAGGCAACGTGTCGCCAAATAATTTCCAGATTTCTAACACATGTTCAATCGGGTCTTGAACTTGTAAAAACATGCCTTAAGCATGTTTGGAACACTTTTGCGTACACTTGAAACACAGTTTTCATTATTTTCTCCACGCCGATGTCGCTGGGGCATCGCCGACGCCGCGGGTGCGTCGCCGATGCATCGCCGATGCATCGGCGATACATCGGCGATACGGTGTAATCCTTCGACCACATCTACTCGGACCCAATCTAGGAAGCCTCTAAAGGTGCCTTTGGCCCCAAGGTGCCTGCAGCTTTTCGCTCCAGTTTGGAGCCCCTGGGGGACCCATGGGCCTCGTGCGGGGTGCTCTGGAGGCCGTGGGGTCCTCCTTGGAAATCCTGGGGGGGGGCACCCTGGGCCAGGGGCGCTGTTGGCAGCACCCGACCTTCTCCCGCTTCTCTCCATCCTCCCCCCTCCTTGCCCACATGGGCGGGTCTGTGCTCGTCGCCCCGTCGAGCGAAGAGTCGCGAAAGTTCTCCTCCGCCTCCCCCGTCCCCCTCCCTTCGCCTCTGCTCGCTCGCCACCCGAGGGCAGAGACGAGCACAGCGAGGGCCCAGGTGCGGAGCGCGGGAGGGAGGGCTGCCACAACCGCAGGTCGAGGGCCCCGGCCGGCAGGCCCGGCCTCCGCCCTCGCCCGTCCCGCCCCCGACGGGGCAGGTCCCTCGCGCCCGCCGGAGCCCGGCCGTGGCGGCGGCCGCCCGCGACTCCGCCCGACGCCCTGGCGATGCGGCACCGCAGGCCCCGCCAGGCGGAGTCGATGCGACGAGGGGAAGGGGAGGAAGCGGGGAAGGGGAAAGGAAAGGGAGGAAAGTGGATTCCTTCGCATTTTCTTACAAGCGCGAAGAGGCCTTGTGGCGACGAGGGGAAAGGGAGGGAGGGCGGGGGAGGAGCGCGCCCCAGCACGCGCGCCCCGGCGAAGTTTTGCCCGAGTGAATCAGGCGCCCCTGGCTGCTCAACGAAGCGCCCCCGATCGCACACGTGGCTCCCGGGGGCGTGGCTCAAAAAGCGACGGGCCCCGCTTCCACGGGACCCGTCGCGGACCTCCGCCGCCGAGCGAGACGGCACGAGCCGCATATTTTTGGGGAGGGCACCTCCCCCGATCCATGGATCTGGCGACCGCGCGCCAAGTCCATGGATCGCTACGGTCAACCCGGATGTTTAAGGCTGGGCAACCTTCCCAAGCGTACCCTTGCATCCTTGCCTCCGCGGTCCATCCTTCGCCCCTTTCGTCGGCCGCGCCCCGCTCGAAAAGCCTCACAGTGGGCGCCCATGGCCCCGGCATCCTTCTGTCGCGCGTCCTGACTATACTGGTTGACTGTACCTTTTCCTCCTCCGAGGAGCGGGCGCGCGGGGCGCCAGCAGGGCAAGGCCGCGACCCCACGGTGCGCAGGGCCGCGGGGGGGCGCTCCGAGCGGCGGGCGGCGGACATCCTGCGGCCAAGACGCCGGGGGGCCCGGCGGGGCGGGGGCCCCCGCGAAGGCGCTTCGCCACCAGGCCAAAGCAGGACGAGGACCGACAACTTCGGCCAGATCCTCCTCCTCCTGCTCCTCCTCCTCCTCCTCCTCCTCCTCCTCCTCCTCCTCCTCCTCCTCCTCTCCGTAGCCATTTTGGCTCAAGAGCTATGCACACTGGGGGTTCCGCGCCTCCGTGCCAAAACGGGATCGCTCTGTTTCCCGAGCGTGGCAAGGCTCGCTTGCGGCCTGGCAGTCTTTCTTCACTGCAGTCACGGCCTCCCTGCACAGAGGCCCGTGGTCCAGAGTCCCGCGCGCGCCATGGCTCCTCGTCGGGTTGCTGCTGATGAACCTTGGATATGCAAGTCGTGTGTCCACTCAGTCACTGGCAAGCCGTGGTTCAATGCGGGAGGGACGTTGTACTGCAAACAGTGTCAACTCCACAGGTCGGTGGTGTTCAAAGAGTACAAGCGAGGCAAAACCCCCAGCGTCCATGCTGCGGGAACCAAGGGCCCTAGCTCAGTCGACAAAGGCCTCGCGGCTCGTTGTGCACAGCTCGAAGAACAAATCAAGCGGCTCACCTCGGAGAAGGCCGAGCCCACGCCACCGCCACCATGGGCGCAATCACAGCCTGACGGTGCGGAAGACAAGCGCAAGCGCATCAAGGAACTGGACGGCATCATCCGCGTGCTCTCGCCTGATAAGGACGCGACGGTGCTGGCCAATTTCAAGAAGGAGAAGGAGACCTTGGAGCGGGAGTTGTTCGACGGGCGCCCGATCGAGGACCAAGCTCGGTCGTTGGCGGCCAAGCTCCAGCATGCGAGGTCCCAGGAGTCCAGCGTGCGCAAGTCGGTCGAAGAGCAGAGGGCCAAGATCCAGGAGCTGCAGGGGCACTTGGACAAGGCTGAGGCAAAGCTCGTGGAGGCCTCCGCCGAGGTGGTCAGGCTCGAAGAGGAGACGCGCAAGGCCATGTCCCAGGCGCGCCCGCCCGAGCAGCAGCGGCCGCCCACGCTCCATGAGATGCTCCCTGGGTTCGCCGTGTCGGTGGAGCAGCTGGGGCGCGTCGCCAGTACTCTGGGCTTGGGGCCTGATCTCACTGCTGGGCTGCAAGCGATGGCGGAGACGGTCACCAAGTTGCAGCAGGCGCCGCAGGCAAAGCCACCTCCGCCTCAGACCGCAGAACCACCTGCACAAGAGCCTGATCAAGCCGAACCTCCCGACATTGAGATGGAAGAGGCAGACATGCGGGCGACGCTCAACGCGGCAGGAATCCCCACGGACGAAAGTGTCTCTGCCGAGGCGGTCACGGAAAGGTTCAAGCGGTTCCAGACGACGTACATCGAGGCGTGCAAGCGGGCTCGCAAACAATAGCTTCGTCAGCTTTGGGCTTGGTATCTTACTCAGTTCAGCGGCAATGACGGCAAGCAATGACGGGTCCCTTCGAAGCGGGGTATCAGCTTCATCTGCAACTTCTCCGAGGACTACGACGTCGGCGGCGTGTGCTACACCGCGGGCAAGCGTCTCTTGGGAAGATTCTGATGTTATTGGCACGCGTTGGCTACCCTCAGGGAGGCTCACTCGGCTTGCCGAGCAGAGGCCTGGGGCGGAACCCCGTGCACCGTGCACGTCACAGAGTGCGGCGTCTTCCGCGGCATCGGCAAGTGTCTCTTGGGATTAGAATGCTATTGGCACGAGTTGGCTACCCTCAGCACCGCTCACTCGGCTTGCCGAGCAGAGCGG